GGCGAAGAGCCCTTGCTCAGAGGGCCTGGAGGTGCCGGCACCGAGCAGCTCCCCCCCAACCTGCCCAAGGCAGCTGGAACACAGACCCCGGAGGGGCAGGGGGCAGGAAGGCAGCCCCGGGACACGCCGAGCCGGAGTCGAGGGCATTTACTGTCCCAGCCCAGCGGCGTCTCCCCTACCCTGCGTCCAAACTCCTCCGTCGACGTGAGCGCCTCGCCCTGCGGCGGGCAGGAGAGCCAGGACTTAACCGGGCCGTGCCGGTGAACGAGAGGAAAGCCCTTGCTCGGGCTGGGAGGACGGATTATCCCCGCGCTGCTCACGGCAGCATTTCTGCGCCTTGCCCTGTCCCCCGGCGCAGGGCGGCCACGGCTCCGGGGGCGAACACGGGCTCCGGGTCTTTCCCAGGAGCCGGGCAGGAACGAGGCAGCTTTGGAGCAATCGCAAAGCTCCCTTCAAGGAAAACGAACCGGCAGGTTCAGGCAGCGCTGGGTTTCATTCCTCCAAGAGCCTTAGAAGGGATTTCACGGGCTAAGTTTAGCCCCTAGAGAAATTTATGTAACAGCAAAAAAAACGAGTGAAAGGTTTCGCTTACAAAGAGCTGCTGAGGGGGGCGGCCGGAGCCACCCCATGGTGCCTGGCCCGGCAAGGAGGGTGAGCAGCCGGTGTGACAGCCAGCCCAGCCGGCCCCGTGCCTTGGGAAGGGGACACCGTCCTCCCCCGGGGTGATTTTCACCCAGTCGAAGCCACCGCACGGCTGTGCTGCCCAGAGGCCGGGCAAGCTGGGCTCCAAACCGCAGCCTCTAGAGATGCAGAACCGACCCTGCTGGGTTCAAACACAAATCAGGGATTGCTCCAGAGCCGGAGGAGGGAGAAATTGGGTATTTTTAGTTGAGCAGCACCTTCTGCTTTCCAGGACAGGGACTGAGAACATGGGGGACCGTCGCTGCTTGGTGGAAGCAGTGCCTCTGCTCTTGCCCTACCCCCAAAAGTCCTTCACACCTGAGCACGACCAAAGCCCCGGGAACCGTTTTGCTCGGAAAACGCCTGGCTGCCACACACCACATCCCAACCCAGCCTGCTCCCAGCGGCACGTGCCCCTTCAGGGACCCCTTTCCCCCTCGGAGCAGGAAAGCGAGCCCTGCAGCAGGCAAAGGGCCAGGAAATGGCACTGGGAGGCAAAAGGCAGGGGAGAGCCCCCGGCGGGAAGCCCCAAGCCCCTCCTGGGGGGGATTTATATAAAATACCGAATGGGAAAATGCGGACGGGCAAGTTGTAAATGAGCAGAGCGCGGCGCGGGGCGGAGGAGAGGGGTCAGGTCGTGCCAGGAGGAGGCTCCCCGGGGAGATGGCGGCTGGTTTCTCATTAATGAGCAAACAGGATCTGGTGACCAGCCGGACACGTCTGCCCTCCCGGCGGCCCGGCGGGATGCGGGGACGGGCACCCCCGTTTCTGACCCGCTGTGATTTCAGGGCTCACCCACCAGGGAGTGGGGACCCCCCCTCCATCGGGGCCAGGCTGCTCAGGGGTCTTGAGGGTCCGGCCGACGCCTCCCGACAGGCAGACCCCGTGGGTTTCGGGGTGCGGCTCCCCTCGGGTCGGCGTGCGGGATTTCACGCCTGCCGACGGCGAGGACGGCCGGCCAACCC